ATTACTGTGGCACACGTATATTAATTTAATTGAAGTCTGTCAATAAATCTATTTAATTTAAATGCAAATTTTAATGCAAATCCTTATTAAAGCAACAGGTTCACTTATAAAATATTCTGTAGTTATCTTAGTGTCCATTGCCCTTCCTTTTGAATACCCTTTTTAACCCAGATCGGTCACATTGAGAGTAAACACAAGCTCCAGCAGCTGTGCGCTGAGGAAACAAGCCATCATATTTTTCCGCACCATAAGACGAACTTAAAATCCTTTAATTTTCTCAAAAATTAACAGTGCCCCTTATAATCCGGTGCGCCTTATATTGACAAACATTAAACTGTGACTGTCACCAGGTAATGTGGGCGTGTTTCCTGAATAAGCAGCATGTGTTAAACAGCTGACAGGTGAACAGGATGCATGCAGGTAAACTCGAGGGCCCTTTGAGCTGATCGGTGGTGTCGTGAGGAAACTTTCATCTCATTATTTCTGTTACAGAAACACAGAGGTACGAGACCAGGCAGAAGACTTTCTGATTATTTGTTTTAGTTAAAATAATTTTAACTAAAACAAGTTGCTTCGCCCAAAGGCAAATCACACAAAGTTTAACTGCTTATTTGGAAGAACTGACATCTGCTGGTCATTTAATGTTCAGCAGCACTGCTGTGAGAATACCTGTAGGATACATACCAGCGGCTATGTAAGCACATGCACAGCTGCAGGGCTAGAAGTGCCAGAATGAATTAAATAAATAGATTCTTAAATAATTAATTAAATGTTTCAATGAGTGATTAATTAAATATTTAAAAATCATTAAATTTATAATTAATTTATTTGAAATGTTTTAAATTAAATTATTGGCATTAAATCAATTATGTATATATTTAATTTATTAAGTATTTTGAACTTAAGAACTGGGCCGGGGGTCTTTCTGTGTGGAGTTTTCATGTTCTCGTGTTTGCGTGGGTTCCCTCCGGGTAGTTTGCACTTGTGTTTAGAAGTGCTTGTGTGAATGAGGCCTGTTGTATAGAGCACTTTGAGAACTCCAGGAAGGTAGAAAAGCACTATATAAGAATCAGTCCATTTACTACATGTCAGCAAAGTTTCATCTCCAACCACTGCAATATTATTTGTTAGGATCACTGTTCCCTCCGGGTACTCCGGCTTCCTTCCACCGTCCAAGTCATGCAGTTTGTGGGGATAGGTTAATTGATTAATCCAAATTGCCCATAGATGGGAATCTGTGAGTGAATGTGAGCGCGAATGGTTGTCTGTCCCTATGTGTTAGCCCTCTGACAGACTGGCGACCTGTCAAGGGTGTACCCCGCCTCTCGCCCTATGATGGCTGGTATAGGCTCCAGCACCGCCCGCGACCATGAAAAGGATAAGCAGAAGCGAATGGATGGAAGTATTTTGAACTGTAATTCATTAATGACATTTAATAAACTATTTAATGATGACTAATTGATTAATTATTGATGATTAATTTACCCTCCACATGATTTAACCTCTATAGAGATATATTTAATCTAGATCATATATTTTTCAAAGGTTCAGACCAGAAAGTTTAAAATTATTATTTTTCTCATTATTGTCTCTTCAGATTGAGTGTCTGTAATCTCTCAGAGGGAAGCTGTGAAACTCTGTCTTCACTACTCAGCTCCCAGCCCTCTAGTTTGAGACAGCTTGACCTGAGTAACAATGACCTGAAGGACTCTGGAGTGAAAGTTTTGTCTTCTGGACTGAAAAGTCCATATTGTGAACTGGAAACACTCAGGTCAGCGTTCTTGAAATGTTCAGTAGATGAGGTTTAGAGGTTTACAATCTAAGGTTTAGATTGACTAATGGCTATTTTTAACTCCTGTTTCATTTTTGGCTGCAATTTCCTGTTTGCATTTAGCTATTTTTCTCTTCTCTAAGAGTATTTGTCATGTCTGCAGGCTGTCAGGCTGCCTGATCACAGAGGAAGGTTGCAAGTCTCTGGTCTCAGCTTTTAGCTCCAGTTCTTCCCATCTGAAAGAGCTGGACCTGAGCTACAATAACCCAGGAGAGGCAGGAGTGAAGATGCTTGAGCAGCTAAGACTGGACACTCTGAGGTATGTAGATGGCCGTTACAGCCACAAACAGTGTCTGATAGATGAGGAAACTGGCTCTGTCTGATTACTTAATGCTGGAAACCAGTGTTATTTGAACAATCACACAGATAGGAACATTTTTCCCATTCTGGTCTAACATGGGGTCTCAAAGATCAAAATCTCTGTCAGCAACAACTGTGCAACCTGTTCAAACTGATCTCTGGAAAGGAACTGACATTTTCACTCTCTTTATTTATTTTAAGTTTTATCTGTGTGCATAGACCATGTCCAGGACATGTTTAGCCTGGCCCAGCATGAACTAGAATTAGGAGGAAGTTGTTTCCCCGGCTTAGAAAAACATATTAGTAAAAATAAATGGATTATTAGGTCACTTAACTTAACTGGCCATCTACTAAAATGGGCTATTTTGCACTGCTAGTTTGCTGCTTCTGAGCGTTTCCTACTGAAACTTGTTTGTGCTAAAATATCAAATTGATCTTCTGGACTTTGTGATAATAGTTAGTAGAAAACAACAGAAAAATAGAATGCAGTCAAAGTGAATTAACTTTGGTCGATCAACCTTGAAATTCAAATTATAATAAGAAATAATCATTCCAACAGAAAGAAGAGATTAAGAAACAAAGGGATGGAGCTGGTGGAGGAAACCGGGTCACTGGTTGGGTGTTAGGCCCAGACTAGTGGGTGTTTTTGACTGTAAAGTGGATGTAGCAGCCTGCACTGCAGGATATGTGTTGCAGCACTGAGAGCTCCAGAAAGATCCTTCATGGTGGCCCTGCAGCCAAACAGCACTTCAGTCAAATGCTGTCAAAAGTGGTCCCAGAGACACTGTGAGCCGTAACCATCAATGACCAAAAATTGTGTAATTGTATTCAGGGTTTCCCTGTATTATTGTTATTGATATAATTTCTGAATAAATAAATCAAGATGACGAGCCTTTAAATGCACTTATGTTAGTATAAATATACAAAAATAAAAGATAATTTTCCTATTATAAGAATAAGAAATAAATATATACATATATATATTCATCACATGCATCAAATCACAACCTTCTCCTGCAAGAGTGAAACATTGTGATTGGTTGATGCTGTTTCCATCATTTATGTTTGTTTACCTTGAACAAATTTGCTCTACAGAGCATTTATTAATTAGAAGGATTATTAATAATTGTCTTTCTCTCCTGCTTTTGGTGGAGTGAAACAATAACTCCTATCTCCAGAGGTACACAGGTCCACTGGCACCTGGTCCTAACTTCACCCATGTCTGCACCCTCCACCCATGTCTGCACCCTCAGACATCCCACTGTGGAGGCATCCTCGCCTGGACCAGTGGCTGCCCTTGTGAGACAGACTTTATGGTCACAAACAGCCCTAATCTGAGAATGAGGGCTGTTCAAATTCAAATTCAAATTCAAATTTTATTTGTCACGTACACAGTCAAACACAGTACGATATGTAGTGAAATGCTTGGACAACTGCTCGTGACCTAAAGAAAACAAAAAAAGGAAAAGGCTATGAATAAGATAGGACATAAATATGAAAAATTAAAAAGGGTAAATTTAACTAGGAAGGAATAAAATATAAATTAAGGTTAAAAATGAAATAACTGTACAACACAAATTAGAATGAAGGGTAAATTTAATAAAGGAGATTAATGTGATTTGATTATGAGTTTTGCTCTTTTGAAGTTTAAACATTTATGTGTCAAAATGTTGGACTGTTCCTTTATCAGTGTGTAACAGTGTGTGTATGAGAGCCATGTAATGTCCATGTGTGCATGCTGACTGTGCTGGTCTGACCCCCCTCCTCCTTTCAGGGTGGAGCCTGCTGAAGTCCGATGGTTGAGACCAGGTCTGAGGAAGTGTAAGTGTGTTTTTAATGGGATTCATGAAAACAAAGCAGCACACATTCAACCATCTTCGTCATTCACATCTCTGATGTCAGGAGTCATCATGAAAGGGTCAATCAATGAACAGATGATGGATCAATAACTGCAGCTGGATTGTGTTTGTTCTCTCCATCAGATTCCTGTCAACTCACAATCGACACAAACACACTACCTGGACAATAAGACACATGCAAATACAGTGGCTTGCAAAAGTATTCGGCCCCCTTGAACTTTCCCACATTTTTCACATTACAGCCACAAACATGAATCAATGTTATTGGAATTCCACGTGAAAGACCAACACAAAGTGGAACAAAATCATACATGATTCCAAACATTTTTTACAAATAAATAACTGCAAAGTGGGGTGTGTGTAATTATTCTGTCATGGAAAAACACACTGCCGTCAACTTCTGTTTTGTTTTTGTCAAAATCACTGTAATATAATCACTGTACCTTTATATACATGTGACTTGTATTAATGCTGCTGCCCTCTTGTGGCTAAAGTGTAATTATGTTCTTGTTATTAGGGAAAACATTTGAGAGTAACATGACAAGTGAGTCAGCACTTTGGCTTCAGCTTAAGAAATCCTCATTTTTATGTCATCAGTTATAGTTGCATGTATTCATTATCATAATTTAACCTTTAATATTGATGTCTTAAATTTATTTTGAGTAAATTAGCAATTTTATGGTATTTTATGGTTGTATTAAATTAATACATCACTAATGAATTAATTATTTCAGTAATTAATTTAAAAAATGTACATAATCAATTAAAGAAATATATTAATAATAAATTATCCATTAATTTCATTTAAAATGTTTCATTATTTGTTTATATACAATTCAAATGAGTTAATTACATATTTAATCAATTATTGGTTTGTTTTCTATTTTGATTATTTTACTGACACATTTAATGAATTATTTAATGATGTATTTATTTAATTCACGTTGCTACTCCTGGCCCTGCATCGTGTTCATAAATAATTTTATTTGTCAGTCTCAGTCGGGCGGAATCCCATCAACATGTTGGGGTGGGTTTTATGGTTCTGTCACCTGGGGGCTGGGGGGGCCATGCTGGACTTATGGGCTGCTTTTCAGAGCATTCAACAATAAACCCCAGTGTTCCGCTATGTTTGCCAGTGTTGTGTCTTTGTCTCCGCTCCTCAGTGTCTGAGCACCCCGTGCTCGCTGCCCTCTCGTCTCCACACTCCTCCTGGGGAATAACAAAGAGGCAGCCGTCAGCACACCACAATGCAGCAGACTAACCTTAACTAACTCGCCAAGAGACTAACGTGAAGTTACGCAATGATCCAGCATCAGAGACAGCTCCACCACACTCCTAAGTAGCTCCTCTGACGAGGCTTGATCAGCTGCAGTGTGAGTAATTCTCCTCCGCAGGTGTGGCCAGGCTCCTGGCTGACACACCCACACACACACCTAGATACACAAACATGGAAACAGGAGACAGCAGCACCAAAAACACACATGTCCATAACTTCTTACAGGCCCTGGGTCACCCAGACCCCGGTCCCATGACAATTCCTCAAAACTAAGTAGGCCTACACACCAGGGTTTGGACATGTGTGGACCCAACTCTACACACCTTTGTTACCATACTTTAAATTCTAAAAGATGTAGGCCATCTTTACTCCTACCGCTCCTCGTGCATTTTTTCTTTGTATTGGCTGATGGGACCTGAATGTAACAGAACTCACATTTTTCAGAATAGAGCCTATGAATATGTCATTCGTAGACAGTGCAGTAACTCTGTAGTGGATATCACTTGTGAGCAGATATTCTAAACAAGTGATGTGACTTGCAGGTCTAGGGAATATCTGCTCACTTTGTCAAAATGAACCTAATCATCTCTGATGAGTTCAGTGATGTCTGCCAGCTCACCTTGCAAGTGGTCGAGCTTATACCGCCGACAACGCGGCCACAACTTGTAAACCCCCTGCTGACTATCACCTCTGGAGTTATTTATTTATGTTAGTTTCAACTGTTCCTGCAAAAGTAAGCACGTGTTACTGATAAAAAGTCCAATAGAAGCAAAGTCTAAACTTTGAAAACAACCAAAAACAAAAACCTGTCTGATTAAGATCTGATCTTTGGGGGGTTTCAATAAGCAGTGTGACCCGTGTATATGCATCAGGGGTGGTTTTGATTATCGATTTATCGATTAAAATCGATTCTGGCTTGGATAACGTGATATCGATTCATTAAAATCCTGAATCGATTTTTTAATATAAATTTATTTTGGCCAAAACGCCAGAATCTCAGGTTAAACCTCCCAAAGTTTCAACAACCACCAAACAGCTAAAACAGTAAATGAGAGCAGGAACACGGATTCTGCACAAAGACGTAAACACAAAGCGCGGAGCCGCCGACGCATCAGAATCAGTGAGATGTGACTTTCTCACCTGACTGCAGGGACACGAGCTGAAAGCCGACAGCTCGCTGATTCTGATGTTTCCGCGCTTTGTGTTTACGCCCTTTTTGCGCTGATTCTGAAGCTGCAGGTTTTTCTCTCTCCAAACAATATTGAGTAAACCAGCAGCAAAAGAAGCTCCAAACTACGCTTCACATAAACATCGTCATGAATTCCCTCTGATTGTTTTGCTGCCACCAGGATAAAATCACACTTCATGCACAGCTCTCTCCTCTCTCTCTCTCTCTCTCTCTCTCTCTCTCTCTCTCTCTCTCTCTCTCTCTCTCTCTCTCTCTCTCTCTCTCTCTGTACTTCAAGAACAGTTTCCCGTCTAAAAATCTGTTTTCTGCATTATTCGCTTGCTTGTTACGCACAAGTCTACCGTTCTTACAGCCTGTCGGCCGCTGTTTTTTTTTCTTTTACTTACTTCTGAAAACAAAGCCTCGTTTCTGCCGTTCAACACTGAACAAATTTAAACTTTTTAAAATGATGCAAAATTGCAAAATGCTCAGCTGTGTCTGTAATCAAACCTCTGTAACTTTGCTCTGCTTCACGTCAGCAGCATCAGGTAATGTTCATATGTTCATTAATGGTTTTCTTTCGTTTTTGATGTTCTGCAGAATATTTGTATAAAATCCCAGGCCAGGAAAACCTTCATGTTTTTCTGTTTGATCCTCAGCTACTTTGACACAAAGGCCTCTGCTGTGACGCTCACACCTTTGATAAAGTCTGGCAAGTGTCAGATTTCTTTTTATAGATATAAAAATATAGAAATGTACTGATGCATGTAGTAACTGTTAGCTTTAACTGTACAAGGCTTGTTAGACATAATGAAACACATCGTACAGATTTCTGGATGTTAGACTATAATTTTTATTATGATTATTAATCTTGAGTCTAAAAAGTCAGTCGAGTATATCCAGGATATCTTTCTGTTAACTGGATTCACTGACACTAACACTGGGACCAGGATAAGCGGTCGCATGAAGCTGGTTACCAGCTGACAATCTTATTATTTAATTAATTTCATTAAGTTATTTAATTTTTCTACTTTTTCCTCTACATTTCCCCTGAAATGAAGGGATTGTGTTAAACATGCTTTAGTTCCTCACATTTTTCTGCATCTCTTTGTTCAACCCCCTGAATTAAAGCTGAAAGTCTGCACTTCAAACACATCTGAGTTGTTGCATTTAAAATTGATTTTAGTGTATGTACAGAACCAAAATCAGAAATGAAGTTCTCTCTGTCCAGATATTTATGGACCTAACTGTATAATCTATACAGCACGTAAAAAATGCTGTAAATAAAGAAGTCTGTGAAAATGTGGCGCTTAAGGTCAATTTAAACTGAAGTGATATAATCTTCTCCCCACAGTTTGAGTTTGTATTGTCTCAGCTGCAGACAGACTATGATATTAATATTATTAGTTATTAATATTATTAGTTATAAAGGACACCTTCCTGCCTTTAGTCTTATTCATGATGATTATTAGTCGTCTTCTAATGTCCACAAGTCTGTATGATGTGTTTCATAGTTTCTAACAAGCCTTTTAAACTTAAGTTACTGCATTGCTGAAACACCAACATCTGCTTATTGAACAAAACAAAACAACCAGTGTCTTGCTCAAGGACACTTTGTGTGCCAGCTGGAGCAGTCAGGGATTGAACCACCAACCTTCTGATCATTAGATGCCTTGCTCTGTCTCCTGAGCTACAGCCA